TCTGACGAACTTTTCAAAAAATGTTTTAATTCATTTATTGAAAGCAAGAATTGACGAAACAAAATTGGCGAAGAAAAATGACCTCCCAGTGGTCAAAATGACAAAGTTACACAATGAATTTTTTAAAACATTCAATATATTCCTGCGAAATATTCTCCCTCTGGAATGATTAAAATTCTTAAGAGAAATCATTCCAGTAGCATAGGGAAGGGAATAAATTACAAAAGGAAACAATTTACTAAGCAATCAACGCTTTCACTGACTTCACTCATTCCTTTATATTGTTCATTATTATTAGACAACGAAGTTTTCGAATTATTTCGTTGTCTCAGGCGTTATTGAAGATACTTTAAATATTGAGCAATTTTTTTTTTTATTTATTTATTTATTTTTTTTTTTGTTTTTTGATAATAATTCTATTTATGTGATTATTATTCAGCTTTGAAATTAAAGAGTTGTTCTCTTGTTACTATGTTGCTATCAGCAAAAAAAATCAACAAATTTTCGATTTTTAAGGTCGTATAAAAATGTACGTATAAAGTATTAATTTCTTAATATGTCACCGAATCTTTGTTTCATCATAACAAACGATTAACACCATCGTCTTTTAGTTTTCTCTTTTTAGCCCAACAATACAATTTGTTACTTGGAAGTATTTCCTAAAATAAGTGAAAAAAATTTGTAAATGCCCTTGAGCCTACTTTTCGGTATTCATCGTAATCATTATAGGCAAAATTCGATTGATTATGAAAATAACCAGAAATGTTAATATTTTTTTTACTTTCGCTGTTGAAAAATGGATTAGTTTCGTGCAATCCAAAAGTACAATTTTGTTTAATTTTGACAGAAACGGTTTCATAATTCGATAACGAAAACCTATAAACATTAAAGCAAGCCACGTTTCATCGTGATTGAAGAAAAAATTTTTTTAAATTATTTTGATAATATTTATAAAATAACTTAATAAATGCAAGCAATTTTACTTCTATTCATTTTCACTTCGTGTATTCAATTTATGATCATCAGCATTATCATCATCATGAACTTAGTTGTTTATCCGAACCACACATGCGAATCATAAATGTTTTTCTCTATGTTTTCTTCTCTCTTTTTATTATTATTAGATTTTATACCATCCACCACGCAGAAGGGGTACACTAAGTTTGTGTTACTATTTGTAAATCCAATAAATCTGCATCAAATATTCCATAAGGGATATACTCCCGTGCAACATAAAATTTGGAGTCGATTTATTTGTGTCTGTCCGTTTGACTTTCTATTTGTTTGTTATTTTTTTGCCCAACGAGGCATAATTTAAAGAAAAAAAACTCCAACCTACAATTCAATTGGCAACGGCATAATTAAAAAAAAAAAAAAAAAAAAAAAAAAAAAGAGTTTCACCTAGTTCCTATCTATCGATTTAACTATCATGTTGAGAGTATCAAAGATTTGCCTCAAAATGGATACAATTTTCTTACTCGATTTATTTTAAAGCGAACGTGCAGATTATCTTACCTTGATTTGTTCTTCTTCTTTTTGGATATTTTTCTGCTGTTTCTTTTTGCCATAAAATTCACCTACTTTCTATATACATATATATTTATTCATATTTATAAATATTTACATATTTCTAATAAATATGAAAAAAGAAATAAAATCGTACCATGCCGTTATTTAAATGCAAGTGTTCAGATATGCTTTTTTTTTCACGTGGATGTGTGTGTATATTATAGGTGACCTTGCAGTAATTGCTATCATAAAGCACATACAACAAATTTATGCAAAGCAAGTGAGAAAAAGTTATATTCGCCTTGAAGCGAATTTTGAAAGCCTCTCCAATGCAACGTAATAAAGCAATAAAAATATCCTCAAGTGTTTTGCTAACATTTCAATTTATTTTACATCGGATTCTTAACTTGTCTCTGGAAGGTCTTTATCTTATACTTTAGATTTTCTTTAATTCCATTCTGAGTTTTTAGTACATTAAGTTTACAAGAGATATATGGCTCACGCTGCAGTTTTCTAACACGAGTTTTATGATCTTAAAATTTAAAATAGCGGACGGACGGACGGATGAACAGGTGAAGAGGAATCTTTTTAGAATTTTATATAAATCAAGAAAATATTTGTTGATTTGTTAAATTTTTCCTATTTGATAATCTTAGGTGCTTCAAAAGAGATGATAAAACAAATTAATTTTCATTCTTTAGTGGTAGCTCGAAAAGAAGAATTTATTGTAGGAAGCAGATTTAAGCGAAACCTACGCTAAAACAGCGAAAGGACAGTGACATACTAAAATTATTATTGTAAATCCACCTCGTAGACATATGTATATATGTATTTATATATATATAACATATATATATAAATATATATATATATGTTATATATATATATATATATTTATGAAAGAGATATACATTGTAAGTTGTATTAATCGGAATCGATATTTACTTACTCATATCATTAATTTGCAAATTATTACAAAGTTATGAAGAAAACAAACCAGCAAAAAATCACGTTTCCGTCATATAATAAAATGATAAAATTTAACGCAGTTAAAAAAAAAAAAAAATCGTATTATCAATGAAGATACCGGCAAAAAGTAGAAATTAAATTTTCTATTTATTATGCCAAAGTAACACACGATTTGCCAGCATGTGAATCTGTATGCTGTTTGTTGTCTTAATTAAAATTTCATTTATATGTATAAGCATACATATACATAAGTTGAATGTTTATTTATAAACGTATAAACAAGAAAATTGTTCAAATTAAACATTTAACGCTAAAGCTAAATAAAATATAATCAACCAAGTTTTAAAGCAGAAAACCAAGAAAAGTGTAGTCAATGTAAACAAAAGGCCATAAACTGATATGTTGGAAAAACAAGCTATCAAGGGATTAAAATTATTTAAAAGAAATTTTGTTGTTATTATTATTACTCACTACAACTGATATACGAGTATTAATTGTGTCGTTTTGTTGGCTCAATAAAATTCACTGTATTAACGCGAATAACAAAATCGACTTGACAATGGATGACTATCGGTTTCAATAATGCTTACGATTGCAAAATCCCCGTCGAAAATAATAAAGAATGGATTTTTAAATGTTTTCTTCTTCCTTTTTTTTTATTCAGAGCAATGACTCTATCAAAATTCACATTTAAATCATTCAATTTTTCGGGGTGTTCCCAAGTGAATCTGCACCACGGATTGGGAAAATCATTTAAATAAAGTCTTTTAATATTTATATTTAAAAAATATACTAAAGTATGACTTCAGTTATCGTAGCGGTTTCTTCATTATTTCTTTACCAGCATACGATCTTCCCGTTATATCTTGCATTCAATTATTTTATGATTTAGAAACATAGGCACAATGGATTACACATTATTCGTGTCGACACAACCTAAATGACAGAAAGAGTTTAAAGATAAATGCTCATATTAAATAGCAAAGACACTAACACATCTCCCTTAACTCAGCTCTGCAAACGCTCTAAAATAGCTCTATACATTAATTAAGATCGAGATGTGATTAGACTTGGAATCCTCCTCCGTCCAAATTAGGAAAGGCAAAATATTTTAGCGGACACCTAATGAATCTACATAAAAATACCTTTCAAATTCTACTTTCCAAAATTAATTTTAAAAATATTTTCAAATGTATGTGTAATGTGTAAGCAATAAATGGCTATGAAAAAAACATTTATATTTGGAATGGTAGCGCGGCAAAACTTAAACAGGAGCCCTGTGTTCACGTATATCACGTAAATCTATATCGTAGAGAGCAATGGAAAGGGGGAGTATGCTTGTGTGCGTTTGAATTAAAAGCAGAAATATCAGGCACGGTGGGAAAGACCACTGTTGGCAGATTATTCCAGAGGAGAGTAGATCTCTCCAGCGTTTAATGTACCCGATTGTATAGGATAATCGGCGCCCCCGAGAAGTACGACAATTTGTCAAGGTACTCCACGAAGCACTCTACCCAGCAATTAGACGAAACACCACTCATCCCGATAATCTGATGGGAAGTGCATCATCATACCAGGAGCAATATACTACGTTGGACAATCTTAGGCCCATGGACACCAACAATTTGGCGGCTTGTCGCCTTTAGATTTACGGCTATACAACTTTCGTTGTTATCTTATTATACGCAGCCGGATTCACGCTTGCCTTTGGACCATTCACACTTCCCAGCAGACCATTCAGTACAATACACTTTCTCGAGGATATAATACTTCCGAGGACATCATCACATTGCACACTCTCACACAGTGCCCCAGCCCTCTAATACTTCGTAGTACTAACACTTGACTTGAGCACGTTTGATGGCCTCCATGGCGGAGAATCCAATGAGCGACGGAAATGTACACTTTTATCCGAAAAGAGAACTTTCTTCCGGCATTTATTGTATTATTTCCTTCAGGTTCATTAAAAAATCCTTATGGTGGATCCCACAAATAAATGGATATATAATTAACACAAGATCGTCCTGTTGGTTTTTCATTTTGACAGTTCTTCTGACAGTCCTTCTGTCTGTCCCCTACTTTGCCCACTGCTCTGTTCTTAAGTAAAAAAAAAAAAAATTGATCCCGCTTAAGAACTTTGTCGATCGAGCTATTGTAGCGTAACATAACTTTTCATGCAGATATTGATTTCTTTTGCATACTTTCTTCAGATGTTGGGCGGGCATACAACGTTCGCTGTAAGCGGATAATAAAACTTTTTGAATATATTTATTATTGTTGCAAATTGATAAACTCAACTATTTTTTACATTCACGCTCTCAGTCACCTTTAGAAAAAATGTTTTCAATTAACAATAATTAAGTTTTACAATCATTTACTTATTAGTATTTATTTTGTATCGTCGGGTTATGTATGCGATTTAATTACCTAAAATGTAGACAATAACAATAATTTACTTTTTTGTCTCTTTTTTTTTTTTGTTTTTTTGTTTTTTTTTTTTGCATTTATTATTATCTTTCCAGGTAAAAAATGTAATACGTCCACGATATTATTCATCAGAATTGGGTATAAGGGAGAAATTATTTATCGGTGTCATGACAACTCAGGATAATATCAACACATTGGCTACGGCCATTAATCGTACCACAGCACATTTAGTGAATAAAATAAAATTTTTTATTAATGCTGATAATGTTAAGACGAATTATAAACTTAAGAATATTGTTGGATTCACAGATACACGAGAGAATTTGCGACCATTCCATGTTATCAAATACATTGCCGATAACTATTTGGACGATTTTGATTATTTTCTAATCATACGTGATAATGTATATGTGGATGCACGTAAGCTAAAGGCGATGCTCTATCATATGAGTATAACATTCGATTTATATATGGGAACACGAACACGAGGGAGTGCTTTCGGCAACTACGGGGCCAATGATAACAATAATAATAATAATAATAATAATAATAATAATGATGATATGGCGTCAACGGCCGCTGTTGCCGCTATGGCTGGGGATGCCGTTTATAATTTTCTTAGTGCCAATCGGGTAGCTGGTCATGGCGATAGTGGTAATAATGATGAATTTCGCAGTGATCGTAATTATTGCGATCTGAATGCTGGCATATTGCTTAGCAGCAGTGTTATACGTAAAATGCGTAACAATCTTGATTGGTGCGTACGCAATGGTATAACAAATATACACACAATTAATATAGGACGTTGCGTTAAGTATTCCAGTAATTTGCCAGGCTGCCAAGAAACCTTTCAGGTATGTGCACTTGATTAATTAATATTTATAAAAAAAAAAAAAAAAGAATCACTCATTGTGACGTAATTTGTTTATGATTTAATAGCATTTTAAACCTTTAAACTGTGTATATATTAACCTGACTGCAAAACAAGTTTTACGCAATAAAGTTTATTACATTTTTTTTATTGATTCCACTTAATTGCATTTTTAACTCGTACACACTTACTTGCGTACACTATATGCACTGGGGTTAGCAGATAAGAGTTTTTTTTTTCATAAAAACTACTTTATGAATAAACTGAAATGTATGGTAGAGAGAAAAATTTTACGTTCTTTTATGTAAAATATGTTTACATATTGTCTGTTTGATGGAAATGATTCATTCATTCATGTAAATATAATTTTTTTATTATTTAATAGCAACCAAATTTTTTTTTTATATACTTTGGATATTGATGTTTATTTGCCTGCTTTGCGCTGCTCAAATGCAATAAAACATATATATATATATATATATATAATTTATACTTGGAAGGAATATAAATTTCTGGATTTTATTTTTTTTAGACTTAACGTTGACTTCTAAATCATTTTTTTTTTTTTTCCAAACGAAGTGCGAAATTTTTGCATTACTTAAGGCGAATATATAAAACCAATTTAAGTTTCATTTTCTAGATCTAGTAGTGAAAGGGTTAACACTTCTCTTCTACTTTTTTTCGCATCTTTTCTTATGGTTCTAATTAAAAATATACAAATTTTACCGGTTGGACGAACGGACATATTGCGAAAGTCAAAAATATATTATTGTACATAAAATTGTTGGATCTTTATTTTCGTGAGTTTTATATATTAGTACTACAATTGATTTATCATTACCCATTCTTTGGTTTTTAAGTGATCTTAAAAGAACAAAGTTCACTCCATTTTTTTGAAATTCAACACTGTTTACTTACTTACTTATGCCTAAGGGACAATGTTTCCAGTAAGCTATATAAAATTACTTTACAATAAATTAAATAATTTGCATTTTTTTTTTAAAAGCATCCAAAAGAAAATAAGGTAGATCTACCCATGATTATGCCCAAAGAGTTAGAATCACTATCTGAATTGAATTAAGTTTGTCTGTTCGTCTGTTTATTTGTGTGTTTTATTGACATTTGTTTATGGATTTTTCTATTTAGCCGGCAGGTTGAAATTTTTGAGATATTTTAACGAAATTTGTTAAGTCAACGTGTTTTGACTCAAGGACGTACACATTTAACAACTTTTACGACCCTAGTTTGAGAAAACTGTACTACTCTCGTAAAATAAAACAAGTAAGAAAATTATAGTTGGTCAAGACCGGCCATTCAATATCCTACACCACATTGTCTAACACAATTCTTATTTTTATTATAGAACAAAAAAATGATATCTTGTTTCTATATAAAGGCATATTTTTCATATGTGTATGTCGGGAGAAGCGAGCCCAAAACGCAACCTAATCTAGTACAAGTTTAATCCTTATATACGGCAAAACTTAAAAATAGGCGTTGGTCCAAATGGTCCAAATTTTGTAGAGCTCATTTTTGTATGAAGTTAGTATAACATTATGGGTTAATTTCCATCGCCACTTGTAAAAACTTAGGCTTTTCATGAAAATCGTTATTAGGATAGGGTCCTTAAAATAGGCCGAGATGGTCCAAATTTGGTGGAGTTAATTTTTTTATATTAAATTATTATTGTGATATAATTTCCATTATTAAGCATTGAAAATTATACCTTTCTGTCGTATGAACTTCAGTTTTTGACACGTGAGAGGAGGTTAAAAAGTGTTCACGCCTATTTAGAATGGCAAAATACTACTACTAAACCACTTTTGCCAAGAACTTTTGAAAATTACAACTTTTTTCCATCCAACGACTGTTCAGAATAGGGCATTACATGGGGATTTGTCGAAAAAGTGAACGGATCCGAGCCATTTTCAATACCGTGCACCAAGTTTCAATCTCAAAAATCGCCGCCTATAGGTTAAACATAAGAAAATAAGACGGGTAAATGGACAATCATTTTTAAGTCGCTATAGCAAAAGTTGGATCTACCTCGGGGTGTTATACAAACTTAATATACCCGTAAGTGACGTAGGGGACAAAAAATAATAAATGGTTCTGCAAGTAGTGACGAAAGTAAGTGAAGAACAGCGATATGTCATACAAGAGTTCACATTTTGGGACCCGAAGAATTCCGAATTTTCATTAAATCCGTAAATTTAAACAGTTGGAAGAAAACTATTGTACAGCATTTAATAATCGGATTCACGGGACTACAACATTTTAATTGGCGTTTTCATGTATTCGAAATGAACTATAAAGCGAATATTATGGTAATTTCTTGCCTTTTTGGCTAATTTGTGAGATAATTTATTTACTTAAAAAAGCTAATTTACGATATCATTCATAGAATGATAGTAACGGCAATAAAAGGAACTAAGACGAAGCGATTAAATTATTTAAATTTCGTATGAAACTTGTGAACGGAGTCGATGACAGTTGAATACATTTTAATTATTCAAAAACTATGCATAATATGTATGTATGTATGTATGTATGTATGTATCATAACTGTTATTATGAAAATAATTGAAATTTAATCCCAAATTCAACGTGTGTTCGAGCTAAAATATACATAACGAATTGTAAAAATAATGCTTAACCAAAGTTCATGATGTATTCGTTTCGTTGATATTATTACAAAAATGTTTGCCTTAATACGGTTCGTATCACTAGATTGCGCTGTTAATTACAATCAATTTCTTTAAGGGCTGGATTATTTACAGTTTGCTTAAATTTGACAGTATTCTTACCTTAACTATTTTTTTCTATTCAAATATTCTACCTATATAAGCAAGTTACCATAATTGATTTCTTTTCCGCTAATCTTTTTTCATCGGTCGGCAGCTGCAAGTCGCGTCATAAATTTGCAATTGGTTTTTTCTTCAAATCAAAAAGTTAGTTGGAATGAAACTAGATTTGGGAGATTGCCATTTCAATCCACATCATGCTCACATATAAAGAAAATTGTAAAGTGACTAATGTTGTATCATTTATTAGACGCAATATTTTTATAGCCACCATTGATTGAAGGATGAACGTACGGTCAGTTTGTTAAAACCCAGCAAGAAGCTTTAAAAGTAACACAAAGCATATATATATTTTTGATCAATACCAAATTGTGGTTCGATTTAAGTAAGTCTATCCGTCCGTTTAATGAATGTCCGTGACAAATATACTCGTGGCCGTAAACGTGAAGCTGCTTTAATTAGAAATTTAACAGAAACACGAGAAGTTCTTGCACGCAAGAGCAAATGAACATAATCGATCGAAGAACACACACAATACCACATAAACTGAAAACACCACTCTTTCCAAATTAAAAAAGAAAAAAAAAGAAGCATTTTCTTGCTCGTTGCTCACGAACGCCATATAGTGTACGCGAAAAAAGTTACAGTTGTACCTGCTGTAGTTTGTGATAACGAGCTAGGTAATCCGATATTAAAAAATATCATTTTTTTTTTTTTTGTCAAAAAATTTGTAACGACCCGAAAGAGACTTCAGAGATTCCGTCAAGCATACACGAGATGTATTCAAAAGAAAAAACAGAATGCTCATAAGTGCTACAAACTCTTCGCAGGAGGCCGAATAAATGTTAATGACAATCCTCACCCTGAACTCCCCAGCCGATAAAAGCAGTGAAAAAAATTGTTATGAAGAATCGTCGAATCGCTATTGAAGACGTTGCTGAGAATGCAACGTGTGCTCCGAAATTGCTAAATTCTGACGAAAAGAACCATCCCATAAGCATCGCTCGAGACCTGTTGAATGATGTCAACGACCATTCAGATTCGCTCGGAAGGGTTATAGCCGGTGAAGAAACATGGGGGGGATACGGTTATAATGTCAGAAGTATAAAATCAGAAGGGCCGAACACGCCAAGTTCGGTTAAACGTGAAGGTTTCGCTTACTCGTTTTCTTCAATTGCAGTGACATTGTGGGCACCGTAAGTTCTTGCCAAAAGATCGCGTGGTCAATAAAGGATATGCGCCGTTTACGTAACGCATAACGAAAACAATGTCCGGAATTGTGGAACAGCGAACCATGGGTATTACTCCAGGACGGTACGCCTGCTTACACATAATTGCTTGTTTGTACTTTGGCCAAACACAACAATTTATTCTCTACGAACTCTTTCGGCTCCTAAAACTGAAAGGATCCATACAAGTGCGATTAATGAGAGAATTACTGCATGGTGGAAAAAAATTCAAGGCAATACCGAAAGGCGCATCTCAGAAGTGTTTTGGGGATTGAAAGAAGCGGTGACACAAGTATATTATATCTAAGGGGACTTGCTTAGGGTGCAAAGAAGTTATTAATGAATAAATATTTTTCGAGAAAAGTAAAAACTCATTTGTTTTTCGAAAAGACATTGAATATTCGATCGTGTAACCATCTCTACGTTATATCAGCAGCAAACCTATCATTCGTAAAAATAAAGACATTGTCTTGAAATTTGGCAAAAACATTAAAAGTTCTTGCACGCAAATGGACATTGAAAGTGAGGTTAAATCGAAGGATATCCCTACTGAGCCCCTTCTGGGCTTTTTGCTCGTTACTCATAAACTGCAGTGAAGACACGATAAAAATTTTCGCGCATATTTGGCAAAAAACAACGACCCATTAACACTATAGAGTGCATTTTTTTTTTTTTTTTTTTTCAAGTCCTTCTTATGATATATATGACGGCGAGTGCATAGGAGTTTCGTTCACAGTTGTACATAATTTCTTATTTGTTTTAACTAACTAGTATATATGGTCAATTAATTTTAATTTCCATTAAAAATCGTACAATCTTTTAACCAACAATTGTTGTTCACTTGCTTTAAAGTGTATGCGAAACAATTATCATAAAATGAGTTAATAGCAAAAACTATTTGGTGTGCATGTAATTATTCACATTATAAAAAGAGTAATAAAAAAAAAAAA